TTGTCTTTGATTTTCAGTTGTATCAAATCAGGAAGAAGCAGCATAGCCTAATGGTTAAGAACTTAGATGCTGAGATCACACTACCTAGCTTCCAGTCCTAACTCTCCCGTATTAGTTGAGTGGCCTTTGGAAAACTATTAAACTGCTTTGTGCTTATTTCCTTATCTGGAAGAAAAAATAAAGTAGGGATGATGATAATAGTGCCCACTTTGTTTTGTGAAGTAGTTGCATTAAATAAGTTATTTCTAGAGTGCTTAGAAAATATTGCGGTACAGAGAAAACAGTTCATAAATATTGTACATAAAATTAGTCCTTTGTGTCTGCCCTGTTCTCCCCAGAAAGATATGCTGAATTAATCTTATGGTCTACTCTTTTTTTTCTTTCCCCCATTCTGCATCCTCCATAGTTCAGGATCCCTGTGCCATTTGGGTGCCATTCAGCAACAAGTTACAAGATATCAACACTCTGATTCTGGTCGGGTGGCACAGATGATTAGTCTTGATTTTAACAAAGAATCATGGCCAGTCTCGTTGTATAAAAAGCCATATTCAGTAGGTGGTAGTTTTTACTGACTTTCCATTTAATTTCTGGTTTATGGATATAGAAGAGTTCTGTAGCTGAGCAAATGGTATTGCACACTGGCTTCTCTAGGCAAAGGAGTGTGCTCTTATCCTGCAGAATTTGACAGAGGTCTTTAAAGTCAGTGGCAGGTTTGTTCTGGTTTTGCCCCTTCTCAACTACATAGCCTTGGGCAAGCTAATCCCTAGGCTGCCGGTGCCAGCAGAGCTCCCTGTTCCGAAGTCTTTGTGATGCTGTGGTTTTCTGAGCATTTGCCACGGGCAGCTTAAGACTCGGGCTCTATTCCAGCTAACTAAGCTAGCAACCCTTTCTTTTCTGCTTTCCATGCCACCAAATGGGGTCACTGTCCACCATACTGTTTTTTGTCCTTGAGAGTTATGCTTCACTTAACAAGGTCCTTCTTCTGCTAATTTATTGATCCATTCATTAAAGTACAGAGGAATATTGGTGTTCAACTTACTGTTTTTAACCAGGATTCATCTTCAAGTTTTTATAAAAATGTATTTATTTTGTAGTCAAAACAATATCTTTTGGGACAATGAATTTAATGCATTTCTTCTTTAGTTCCTGTTTCATCCAGCCTGAGGATTTATCTTTTGATTATCACTAAATATTTTATATTATTACCTGATAAGTTACATTTAATTTAGCAATGAAATTTGGGGCAATTACTTGTGTTACTATGTAGTCTTTTTATTCTAAGATTTTTTTTAATCTGATGGATTTGAATGGGTCTGAGCATGTTTTAGCAATTTTTTTAAGCATTAACTAGTGACATGTTTTCAGGGCTTTCAATTATGAAAATATATTTCAAACTCCTTTACAAATGAAAGACAGCTTGACTGGCAGTAAGTTCCTTTGCTTGAGCCTTCTCTGTCATTTAGAAATTGGGGAGAAATTTAAGAGCAACTAGATATTTGTTCTTTTACAGTGACTCATTTTCATTTGATTTATGTGTTGACCTCTTTTTGTTTTTGTGCCTGAAAACTGAAGGATTCTTCATTTCACTTTTACCATAGGATTCAAAATTATTGTCAGAATATAGCTTTGAATTGATACTGTTTGGAATACTGTTCAGTTATTTTTTCTTCTTTAGTTCAGCTTTGTGTCTTTGATTATGATTACTATTTCAGTTCTTTACTTGTATTTTCTCAGAAATAGTTGTAACTATATTTTTTGGTCCCAGGGATCTAGGATCTTTTCCCACTGTGGGCCTTGTTGAAATGTTCACTGTCTATCTGTATCAACGATTTAATGCATCCACCCCACCCCCAACCTCATGAGAGATGCTGTGCTTCATTTTTGGAGTCTGAGTAATGATCTTTTTTTTTTTAAAACCCTATATTCTCTTTGTGTCTTGCCAAGCAACATTTGATTGATTTATGGCATTCTACTTTTGCTTTTTTTTGAGATCATGTCTTCTTGTATTGTATTGATAATGCCAAATAGTGCCCTAAAGTTTACTTCCAATTCCTGTAGAAAGTCATCTGTAGGAAATTGTTCTTCCTTTGAATCATTAGCTTTCTTTTTATTTTCCATAATCAGTACCACTTAGTCGATTCATGCTGACATTTAGCTATTATTTTTATTGTCCTCCTGAATTTTGAAATACCCATCTATAGACGCACTCACAGAAAGCATGCATGTGTTGTCCTTGGCCCCATTCTCTATCCTCTTGTTTGTTAATAAAATTCTTCTTTAGATCTCTGAACTTGTAGCAGGTTGATGTTTATAGATGCTGGCCCATTTTCAGCGGACTAGATGAGTTTCTTATAAAGCAACTATCTCTAATATCTTGTTCTCGGTTACTTTACACAGTATATGGTTATGTAAGAATGCAGCACTTTCAAACTCATCTTTTCCCTAAATTTAGTTGTTTTTCTGCAACTAAAACTGCCAGGATTCGAAGTACTTCCCCTTCTTTGTTTAAAAAAATAACAGACATTAACTGAGGCAGGAGAAAGGAGAATTCCCTGCCGTCTTAGACATCACCATCATTCATGACGAAAAGCTGTCGAGGTTTCTGACTGATAGGGATTTTTTGTTTCTGTGCAAGGCAGCAAAAAGTGGAAAAAAAATAGATATGCTGATACGAAATTTCCCACTTCCTTTAAGGTTCGTAGTTTGTTCTCTGTCTCTCTGATCAAACCTTTAAATGCAGTATTATTCATTTGCCATTGTAAGACTTCTTCCCTAATTTTAGTAATAGTTGAAGGTCATGTTTTACTTTTTGTGATTACATACAGCTTTACCTATCTCTTTCTTTAGAAAAAATTAGGTGGAAAGTTAGAAGAATTTATACCATGGGCTGGCAGCAAGCATTTAAAACTGTGTTTATATGAGACTCTTCAAATAAAAAAAAGTTTTTCATGTTCCAAAATGCTTGAAAATTTTGCTTCCTGGAGATATATTATGGAAATAAACTCTGCCTTGTAAATATTCATCAGAAGTTGTGATTCAGATGATGGAGGCATCAGTGTTCCCGTAATAGAACCCATGTCTTATGAAAACTGGGTCATTTTAGTGATGAAATAAAATGCATACACATAATATTAGGAATTCCAATAGCTTCTATAAAATTTTTATTGTACATAAAAGGTGCTTGATCACTGCCTGCTAACAATAGTCTTAGAACTGAAACAGTGGTTATAAATCACTTAATAAAGGAGTTGCAAATTCATTGGCCTCCAGGAGACAGAAAAAGAGGCAAATCCACGGAGCAGGATTGTTCCCTAACAATAAAGAGAGGCAGGGATTACAGGAAAGTTGAGATTATTTGTACTACCAAATCCTTGAGTCATCTTTACAATTACAAACCCACTCTCCCGTTATAGAGCTTGGACTGAGGTCAAGGGATATTAACAAACAGCCCCTAAATTAGGAGGATCTATGAATTTAATCACAATCAAGTACATTATTTGTAGGAGACAATGCACAATAAAATGTAGGGTCCCTTGTTCAGTAATTAAGAAGTGCCAGATAGTGACCCCAGAGTCTAACGCCAAGCATGGGGCCCTGTCTTCTGCAAGATCACAAGCCTGAGTCCATACTGGTTTTAACTTCTGATTGAGAGTTTGTAGTCCAGAGAGATGATTATAGATATCCACCAAGACATTGATAATGTGGGGTTAAAGTTAAGTTTCTTACTTTATACTATATGAGTAAACCCTCTTTCCTTACAAAAGAGCTTTTGTATGAGGTTTGAGAATCCCTGCTTTGTGACTATTATTGGGAAACTTTGGCTGAATTATTATTCCTTCTATCGCTTTTTACGGTTCTTGAACTATGGTTTTTTGAGTTATTTGTTGAAGATTTTTCACCACGAAGCTCAAAGATCTCTAACAGTTCTAACTGAATTCCAGAATATTTGAAGCAAGAGTCAGCCCAGGAGTAGATCTGCTGTGAAAGTCAAAGGACACTTGCGTACACACTTGACTCATGCCCAATTGTTGGGAAACCTGTGTCATTATTCTTTTCCCTGTTTGAATGTACTGTCATTTCTTTCAGATCTTTTTGTGTGTCATTTGTATCTTCTCCTAAAGTCACTTTGTTACCCTGTTTGTAATTTTTACATGGCTTTCAAACAGAAAAAGCAGTTTGACCTGAAGTTGACTAATCACTCCCTCCTTTGTGTTAATTTACAAACCATAATCCAAGGCTCCACAACAACTTGACTTCAAGAATGCTATTTAGTGATATCCAGCCAGCTACTGTAGTCACATTTCTTCATATTCAGAAAATACAAGAAATAAAATTGCAAACTAAGTGCTAGGGCAAGAAGGTTTTTGGTAATCAACAAACAAACATACACATACTTTATGTTTAAAAATATTTAAATCACTAAAATCATTTAAAATAAAAAAAAAAAAACCCTTGAAGCCTTTTCTCCTTACAAAAGTGAGTCTACCAGCTCAACCTAAAATGGTGCAAAATGGTTTTTCACAGTTGTAATTTGGCCTCTTGATCTGCATGGCTTCCTTTAGCAACATCCACACAGATATTGATAAACAGCTCGTAGTAAAACATTCTTGCATAATTTAAAAATATCGAGGTTTATGTTTTTAAAGCAAGTTGAAGTTAAGTCAAGTTACTAGTAACTGCATCAGGCAAGTAATTCAGACACCTTCATTGTTGAACAGTATCCCTTTATGAGTGATTCACAAGAACATTCATGTGTTGGGGAAGGAGCAGAGAATGGGCAAATGCAGCATCTAAATGGAAGTTATGAGTGATTATTGGTATTTAAAATATTTGCTATAAGCCATGCTCATTAGTCTATGTGTTCAGCTAGCAGTTGCTCATCAAATTTAATTCCTGGTTGGGGGAGCAAATGTAATGAACTGTTTTTACCTCCTGACTTTCAGAATATGCTGTGAGATATATAAACTGAATATTATAGAATTTTTTTAAACCTTCTACAGGTGGAGATTTTCATTTTACCTGTATGTATTTACCTACGGAGTTCGGTTCCTGAAAAAGGTAGGATCTGACAGATTATTTTATGTAATTTGTATATAAGTTAAATCCCATTTTTGGCATGTGACTACATTTTAAGCAATCATAACAGGCCTTTTAAGAATTTTTGTACATTCTTATGTAAAGATTTTTGTTCATCATTGTTTATAGCAAATTACTTTCAGGCATTTGTCTAAACTACTTTTGAAAACAATTTGTTTTTCCGGTGAAAGCTGTTGCTGACTTTCATGGCTGGTTTTTGTTGTTGTTGTTATTTTTCCCACTAGGAGCTTTATGAGATCCAGATGATGCTATGAAAAAAGTTAGAATTTCTGCATCACACATCACACAACTTGATTATCGGTCACTGCAGTGTGAGTCATCACTGTAGAATTCAACTGTAGAAAATACTATTTTAATGTTCTGTATTAACAGGGTATCTTGGTTACTTGTCTCTTGTTGAGACAAAATATCTGACACCCAAAACTAGGGAAGGGAGGGTTTATTTCTTACAGTTTGGGGGGGGTTCAGTCTATACTCAGCTGGCTCCAAGGCAGGATGGCATGGCAGGGCAGCCGTTTAGGACCACTGCAAAAGAGTAAGCCTGAACACAGCCAAAAGAAAAGCAAAGCACATCTTCTACCTGCCCTTACATTGTATGCCAGCTCCACCCCTGGGCAGATGCAGCACTCACACCACCAATCCCAGCGCCAGGCAAAACCATTCACAAACGCTGCATGACGCTTGGGGGTCCATCCGAACACATACCACAGGGCAGCACAAATTGCTGATGAAAAGTTAATTTCTTCCATAGTTGTGCTTCCCTTGCTGCTGCTTTGCTAAATTCTGCGTGAACTAGGGCACCTTAATCTATGAAAGTAATTCTTTGTGACTGTCATGGGCCGTTTCCAGCTTATTTTAGTGCTTACTGATACTACTAATGACTTAGGCTACTTAAATTCAAGATTCAGGAAGACTTACTTTCTAAGAGTGATGTTAACAAATTTGGCATAAGACGGGGAATGATTTTTAAAAGTATTTTATAAATGCCTGAGCATGGTGGCACAAGCCTGTAATTCTACAACACTGGGAGGATGAGACAGGAAACTACAACCCAGCCTGGGCAACTTAGCAAGACCCTGTCTCAAAAAAAAAAAAAAAAAAAATTTAAAGGGTTAGGGATGTAATAAATGCAGAAGCCCTGGATTCAACCCCGAGCACTGCCAGAAAATAAAGTACTATGTCACACAAACCTCTAAAGTGTTCCCACTGTTATGATTATTCCAAAAAATATCTTGAAAATACAGCATGTATCAAGTGATATGCTTTACTCATAAATCTTATAAATACTGACATGAAATTTTAAAATGTTTTTATTTTAAAAGCTTGAGTTGCCTACCTATGGTAACTTCTATTGTAAATAGCATTTCCCTCCTATCGTTGTTTCCTGAGGAAAATGGTCTTTTGCCCCTTGTTTTTGCCTTTAGTAACTGTACTTCTTTTTTCACTTAATAATAAAACATGGTTCTGAGGCTGTTAGAATACATTTGAGTGGATGAACCTCACTCTGAAAGTATGAAGGAATTCTCAACTGGAATAAATAACCATGCCAGAAGCTGCTTATTGGGGAACTCTACTATTCTCATTTTCAGACTTCTCTTTAAAAAATAATAGAATGAATAGAATGACTGTAGGGCATTTATGCTTACAACTTGACTACTTTGGAAGAGGAAATAGCATGGGAGGGAATTTCAGCTGATATGGGCAAGTCATGCTTTAAGGGAATGTGTACTTGCTGACCAAGGTCCAGATTTGGAATTCGTGCCTGGTTCTGTTGGTGAGAGGCTTTACTAGAAAGAAAGGCAAGATAGGGGTCCAGGAGTGTTCTGGTCTGCTGGGCATGGTTTGCTTTATCTGTCATACTGTTAGTGTGGCTGTCAGAACAGGAAGCGCATTCTCTGACACTTAGTTCTGGCTCACTTTGTCCCTGAACACATTAAATAGATCGAGCTATTGTTCACCAGCACTGAGTGTACTGTTTAAGGCAATAAAAGAACTTCTCAATAGCATGTTTGCATGAACATTGTTTGTCCTTAAAGACTGTTGATTTCATACCAGACTCCTTTCAAGTGCCTCTGGTTATCATACAAACGCTCAGAAAAGGAAAAAAAAGAACTAGACATTGATCTGGTTGAATCAATTTGTATTGGGGGTTTCTGACTGTAACGCGATCTAAGCGTCATTTGGTTCATCCAAGGGTAGCATTTTGAGGACAGTGAGAAAGTAGTAATGAGACAGGGTGGAGAGTCCCAAAGGGAGTCAGGAGACTTGAGTTGGAGGTCTGTTTATGCCATTAAGTAAGTCTTGTGCTTTCTGAGATTTAACTATTCCACCTCTAACATTAGTAATGTAGACTAACATAACACCTGTCAGCTCATAGCTCATAATTCAGTGAAGAAATTAAAATTGTGGTAACTGCACCAACATGGTAACCAGGTGCACTCTGGTTAGAAGGTAACAGCAGTAAGGCAGAACTATCCTAAGTATGTTCATGCATTTGACCTGGTGATTGAGGAAAGAATCACACAGAACCACAAAACATGGATGTGTAAAGTCATTTATTGCAACTTAAAATATATCTGAATAGATATACACGTTATATGGCAAATCCAAAACAGACTTTAAAAGTTTTAATGTCCAATATTAGCAGAAGCATTTAGTTAAATTGTGATTAGTGATAAAACTGTATGCAGTTCTTTAAAATAACCTCAAAGTAACTGTTGTATTTTTTTAGACCTATTCAAATGTTTAGTAGAATTTTACGTGAAAATAAATAACAAACTCATGTGTACATTTTTTTCTGTCGTTTCTATACATAGATAAATGAAGCAATAGATAAAAATGAAAAGATTCTTTTTAGAGGGTTTGAACTTTTCAGAGTGGATATACTTTTAAAAATATATTTAATACATTCATTTCTGTTAACACAATTCATGCTAAGTTGTGAGGATTAGGATGGAAATGATTATGCATAGACTTAGATGTACCTGGGCAATAGAAGTGCATGAAATTATGAATTTTGAACAGAAAAAATAAAAATTAAAAGTTGACTTCCATTTAAATGGAAAAGAAATATATAATTTTCATAGCAAAAAAAAAAAAAAAAAAAAGAAAGAAAAAAGAAAAAGAAGAAAAATCAGCTGTAATTCTTCCTACCCTTGTATTTGAATTTTCTCTTAGGATTCCCCCTCACGGGATTGTGGTGCTCAGAATACCTTGGACTAATTACTGTAGCTTTTTCACACTTTTGTCATTATCTTTGTGTCTCTGTTAAGGTGTGAGTTCTGTTTCCATGGAAGGTTTCCATAGTCAGCATTAGAAAATAACTTGAACTCTTTATTATGTAAAGACTTAAGAAAAATTTTTCTCACTTATTTGGAAAAAGATAATGATTTGGAGACATTATTGGCTCACTGGACAGCTAGGATGAAATTTTGTTTTTGTTTTTGCTTTGATACTCAGGATTGAACTCACGACCTGGCACTTGCAAAGCAGGCGCTTATGCCGCTGAGCTAACTTCCCAGCCCCTAGGACGAAATTTTGAATCAATAGTAGTAATAATCACAGTCATAATAATGGTAGTTATGCCATATCAAGCACTCATTATAGACCAGGCATTGCATTTGGACTGGACAGTGAATTTTTTAAAAAGCAAAGGGGTTTTTTTTCTTTTTTTTTTTCTTTTCTTTTCCAGTGCTAGTGATCAAACACAGGGCCTCACTTACGCTTGGCAAATGCTCTCCCATGGAACTGCACCCCCAGCCCAAGGCTCTTTCTTATGAGTCCTATTTATACTAAGTCTACGGTGTTAAACTTAGTAATTACAGTCAAAGAGCCCAAATTAACCACCACATTTCCTGACAAAACTGTGAATCTCATACTGGCAAAACTGTGAATCTCTGGTTGCTGAATTCTTAATATTTTTGGTATCATACCAGAAATGATCTGATTTTCAGATTATGTATAGAATCTCCTTTTTACACATACTGATATGTGGCACAATGTTTTTCTTCTCTGTCTGTGATATATATTTACTTTGAATTATGTGACTAGCAGACCACCAGTGTACTGTTCACACTCAGTTAGAAGTTGGTTGAGACAAGTTAGTATTTGGTTGATTGTGAGAAACATGATTTGGGTGAAAATGTTCTTTGCCTAGGATACCTATTCAAATGTTTAGTAAAGCCTGATTAGATGATAGAGGCATTTCATTAACACTGAAGTGATGGCTTATGACTTCTGGTTTAATAAGATGCAATACTTTTAATTTTGATTGTATGAAATTTTCCTAAAAAGTATTAGAAGCTTTTTTTCCTCCGTGTTGTTTTTGCATTAGACTCAGGCTGTGTGTCTGGAGAAAAAGACATTTCACCTACAGCTTTGTTCAGGCAGTGAAGCAGAAAGACTAGGGGTCTCATGAAGCTGGAATGCATTTGGGAGTTTGAAAGGTTTAGGAGAGCTCCATCTCTTAGTAAAGTGATGTCTGCTGTCTTACTGAGTGATACTTGCTTTTCTGTAATTATTGTAAGGGCTTCTGGATTTTGTGCTTTATCAAACCATGAATCTTATCTGTTTAGCACACTTTATAATATACTGACTTTGTAGAAACTCCTTTAATAGTAAAAAAAAAAGTGAATTTACATTTAGAGGCTATCAAAATAACACTCATTTACATGCATTCATTATTATGCCCCTAGAGGCACAGATTTCTCAGGAGTTTAGAACTGAGCTTGATTATGAAAACCTATGCTCCTCATTTATATGCTGTGACAAAGCTGGCTTTACAGGCTTCCTCTGGCTTCAGGCGGTACCCAGGGAACTGGATTGCATTAGTATTCCTTCACTTATTCTATGAGGAGCTGAGACCTAGTAAGTCAGAGAGAGTCCGGGTAATTTGAGATGAAGTATTGATTCACCTATCAAGCTCTGTACCTCCACATTCACTCTGCATTAGCTGAATCATC